TATTTTAATCAGACCAGCTTTCATCAGATTCAAAACAATAACTTGGTATTGTTTTATTTTTCATTAATTCATCTTCACATCCACATTCTTCAAAACATCCACGTCCAAATGATGTAATTGAAGATGGTATATTAAATGATGTTAATGATGAACATCTATCAAAACATCCATGTCCTATTTTACTTATTGATGATGGAATATTAATTGATTTTAATGATGAACATCCATTAAAACATGCATTTCCTAATTTAGTAATTGAAGATGGAATAATAAATTTATTAATATCTTTCTTTTCAATATTCTTTCCATTGATTATTTGTAGATTTTCTGGTATTTGAACACTAACTAGTACTGGTTCATTCATAAATATTCTATCTTCACTAATAAATTGTAAATTATCTATATTCATAGATGTTAATGATGAACATTCATAAAAACACCAATATCCTATTGATATAACTGATGAAGGTATATTAATTGATTTTAATGATGAACATCCATTAAAACAATCATCTCCTATTTCATTAATTGATGATGGTATATTAATTGATGTTAATGATGAACATCCATAAAAACAATGATATCCAAGTGATTTAACTGATGATGGTATATTAATTGACGTTAACGATGAACAGTATTCAAAACATCTACTTCCTATTTCATTAATTGGTGTTGGTGTATTAATTGATATTAATGATGAACATCCATAAAAACATCCATCTCCTATTTTACTAATTGTTGATGGTATATTAATTGATGTTAATGATGAACATTTATAAAAACAACATTTTCCTAATACACTAATTGAGGATGGTATATTAATTGTTGTTAATGAATAACAGTATATAAAACATTCATATCCAAGTGATTTAACTTCTGATGGTATTGTATTTCCATATTTCTTTCTATCTTTTTTTGTATATTCTATATTTTTACAGATATTTCCTTGTTCTTTCTCTTGTAAATATTCTGAATAATTTACTAAATACCATATTACATATTTAAATATTCTTCCATCTTTAAATATTTCATCATCATATTCATAAACATGGAATGTTTCAATATTAGTAAACAATTTTCTTGAATATTCATTTAATGGAATTGGATTAAAATGAAATCGTTCAATATTTCCTTGAAATCTTTTAATTCCTATTTCTAAATTAATGAAATCATTAATATCATTAAAATACTTTGATGTTATCATTATTTCATTATATCCTAATTTCATTATTGTTTTATTATTTATTAGTTGTTTTTATTAGTTCTTTTATTTTTATATTTTAATTTCTTCTTTTTTATTCTTTATCATCATTCTATTTTTATTAATT